ATGGCAACCCAGGGATATTCTCAGATGGACCATACAATGGTCAAAGACGTAAAATCGTTGCTTTGGGGGTCTTCACTGAAAGAGGATGTATTCTCACGATGGACACAAGGTGCTGAAGATACAAATACAAATGTTTCAGTTTCAGAGTTTATTTACCTTTTCACTGTTACTGTTAATGTCAATACTTACTAACACCTAGTTATAGTTGCTAATTTTAAAAAAAAGTATCCCCACTAAGACTGATTACGGTGTTGCGTAATCAACTTGACACCTCTTCTACTTCTATTATAAATATTCGGCTACCCTCCGAATAACGGTCCCAAACTATCGAGGCCGAAAATATACCCTAACAGGGCCTCAGTCACATGTAAATTGCGGACCTATTTCTGACGACTACAAAGATTACAGCGGAAAAGCTACGGCCGAGTTAAAGTCACCGCCGAGAGTTTCCCGGAGCGGATCTAAACTAGATGGTTGGGACTCACGAGCAGCAGCTACCGTATCTCCTGCAGCTTCCTCCATTTTATTTGCTTGTGAGTCCTAGCCATCTAGTTTAGCTCCCTCCACGCCGCACGTAGCGGCTTGGGAAACTCTTGGTGGTGGCGGTATAGACATAGTCGCCGGAAAGAGGTCCGCAATTTACATGTGACTGAGGCCCTGTTACATTATATTTTCGGCCTCGATAATTTGGGACTGTTATTCAGTGGATAGCCAAATATTCTATCATGATTTGTAGGATGCTATTCTCAGTCATTCTGAACACTGGCATAATCATAATAATCAAAATTCGACACCCCCTCTTCCCTCCCCTCCTCATCCCATCCCAATCCTCTTCCTCCTCTTTTTTTTCTAGTAATTACTTACTAAGTAAGTCGCTACTCTTCTCTTCTACCTTAGGATGTAGAGGTTTGCCAGACTTCTCTATCAAGTTTTTTTTCCCTTGCTTTGTTCAAGTTCCATTTGAGTCTTTAGTCAGTCAGCAGGGACTGTCAGATATTGTCTTCCCAGCAAACCCTTGGTGATTTGGTTCTTGGCCCACCATGGTTGACAATTCTCTCCTATTCTGCATACATGTCTAAACCGTCATAACTTCTTTTTATAGTAAATAGTCTAAACAAATATTATTGACAGAATTTACTTAAGCTTAAAAGGGGAGAGAATAGACCTCCTTGCACTGGGTTATTACAGATTGCTGAGTCTCTCTCCCCAGAAGGATGGCTAGCTGCTTGTTAAGAGCAAAGCACAAACTCCCTAACTTCACTTATCTGCAGGAATATGTGTAAAACCTGTACTCTTATACCAAATGACTTGTCCATGAAATGACCCAAGACCTTTAGAGCACAAGGCAGTCGGCTTGACCACTTCACCATGGGGACCCCCATTTGACAAATGTGATGCCCAAATCTTCTGACCTCTGGGGATGATGTTGTTTATCTTGCATGTTTGAATACTTTCAAACACCTTATTCTTTCTATTTTTAGTCTGTTAGTTTACAGAAGGGCATAGTTGGGTCTCCCCACCTGCTGCCCGAAAGCAAAGAATGGTAGTAATACTTTAACCTACCATTTCCATTAAGAGACAGCTGGGGATGATTGATTGGCTGTTTCATCTCATGTAGCAGTGGTTCCCAGTTGGTGGTCTGGAACATATTTAAGGGGTCTGTGCTATCATTTGGGAAAAAAACAAAACAAGCAATGTTTTGTGTGTGTGGGTGTCATTCTAATATAGATGTACATTTCATATATATATATATATATATATATATATATATATATATATATATATATATATATATATATATATATATATATATATATATATATATATATATATATATATATATATAAATAATGCATCTTCCTGAGAGGCCAGGAATCAGCAGTCTGCATACAAATGAGTCATATCTGTAAAAAGAATGCACACCCAACACTCAGGTTCTGGAACAGGACTGCAGTCCAGAAGTCGACGAACAACCAGAACTTTCCTCCGGAGTTTACAGCTGGTGAACGCGAAGAAGAAGATATATATATATATTTGCCCATCCCGCTAGCGTTGTTGGCTAAACCTGACTTCACAATGACCAGATGACAAACTCCTTGTGGTCCAGGTTCATGCCCGGGGGTAGGCAGAAAAGCCATATTTCTCCCATATTTACGGTATTAATCATAGAATCAAGGCCGAAGGGTTGCGATATCCATAGTAGCCTAAGGGTTAAGAACTCATGGTTTTCTGGATATTTAAAAAAATATATATATATAAATATATATACATAAATATATATACACACACACACACACATTTATTTATATGTGCGCTATCATTTAGGAGAAACAGCTCTTTTTGTTTGTGATTTTAATATAGATTCACCTTTAATGTGTATATACTAGATTCAATTTGCCTGACTGTGCCTGGGATAGGGAAAGAAAGTTTTATTCTCATCTTAGTCTCCACCACTGCTGTATGTGTAGTAGAAACTCTACAGAGGAGGGCGCATCTTCTTCTTCTTCGCTTTCACCAGCTGTACACTCTGGCGGAAAGTTCTGGTTGCTCGTCCACTACTGAACTGCAGTCCTGCTCCAGAACCTGAGTGTTGCGTGTGCATCAGTTTTACAGATCTCATTCTCTTGAATACAGACTGTTGGTTCCTTGCCTCTCCGGCAGATGCACTCCGACTTCAAAGGAAGCTCCCAAATTAGTCGACTCTTACGACATGCTTTTGGGGAGGCAGTGGGTCTATTCTTGTTCTCCCCAAAATGGGGCCCCGGAACCCACACGGGGGAGGAGGGCGCATGATATGAGACTTCTGTCTTTAAGTTTCTCTTGAATGCCCTCGTTTTCTAAACCCGGTAATGTCCTATTTTAATGTATGTTTGGTGTTTCTGTGAAGTTTCTGTAGCAAATAAATCTTTGCAGGATGTAGGAGATGGCCCATTGAGTGGTAGCAGCATATTAGATCATTTCTTTCCGTTTGTAATGCTACCATCACCTAAGCGCTCCTTTGGGGTGATGAGGCAGTGACTCAGGATTAAAATTCAGCATATTGGCAATCCCTCGAATCTGACCATTAAAGTAACAATCTCCACTAATGCCCCTATCTTACAGTCTACATTTCAAGGCGATTAACATAATGTAATTTAAAAAAAAAAAAATGTAGGTAAGGGAAATAAAAGGAAAGAATTCTAAGGTATATAACTGTAGAGAAAGTTTACTTTTACTGATTGTTGCAATAAATAAAAAAAAAATGCACAGAAACCTGACCGCTAGTGTGACTGTTAAATTTAATATTGTGACCATAATGGCAGCTGAAAATTTAACCCTTGTATTGATCACGGTCTGGGAGGAGTTAACAGTTCATTTATAATTAAACACAAAATAGGAAAGGATTTGTGATTTATAGTTTAGATATAGAAAGCGTCCTCGCCATAGTTTACAACGGCATTATCTGAAACCCTACTCTGGCTTTTGCCAGGGGCCGCAATATAGGCGGGCCATACATATGGCCAAATGTCTGAACGCGGTTTCTGGGACCTCTCCACGGCGATCCTCATCCGCATGGTGGCACTTTGTGTCATCGGGTGTTTGTCGCTTGTGTGATGTTCTGGTGGGGTAGAAAGTCAGTCAGTCAGCCGTTTACAACGTTGCTTTCTATATGACTTTAGGACGTAATTTTTTGTTATTTGAAGCCCCACCCTGGCTTTTGCCAGGGGCTGCAATATAGGCAGGCCATAAATATGGCCACTTGTCTGAACGCGGTTTCTGGGACCTCTCCATGGTGATCCTCATCCACATGGTGGCACTTTGTGTCATCGGGTGTTTATCGCTTGTGTGATGTCCTAGTGGGGTAGAAAGCCAGAGTCATGTTGTGTTAGGCAAATTGTTTTTAAAAAAAAAACCTTTCTGCAGGATGACAATAGTTAGTGTTGATAAATATTGAGATTTGTTGATTCTGACAGGTTTTGTGTTCAGTGATGCAGAACCAACAGCTTTAGTGCAGCATGATGGAGGGCCCTGTGCAGTACTAGCTCCTGTGCAGGCTTTTATAATAAAATGTGCCCTATTTGGAGAAGGGGACCCAGATATTATGGCACTCAAAGCTGTCTCAAGTAATGCAGTATTTATTTATATGTTGCTTTGTTCTCAATTTTTAAAGTATATATTATGAGAATTGTTAAACTGGTTTATATTTTGACAGTAAAAAAGCTGGATGGAAAGTGAGAGATAGAGAGAGAGAGAGAGAGATGAGGAAGTCAAGAAAGATTTTCAACAGTTTGGCATCAGGGCCTGGAGGAACATCTTTATCATAAATGTTTGACAGTGCAAGAGACGTAAGGCAAGATAATCAATGCCACGAGCCATGGACTATAAAAAGAAGATATTGTTGTTGTGGATTACACTTCTTCTTTCTTTTCTTTAGCCCTATAATACCTTGCAGTGTAAGGGCAGGAAGAGATCTCCAGAATGAGTACTTCTGATTGCTTTGTTTATAGTACTTTTCAGTATCTCCTATATATATTTCTGTGGTCAGTTTCCTGCTCTGTCGAACTCTGGCTCTGTTTTCAGCTGTATTTGTATAACATTGCTTTTTGTGTGTGCTGCCCTCTGTACTGCCAATCTTATTATATGACCAGACCATTTGATCTGTTTTCTTTCAATAAAGTTGAGCATTGATTCTGTGCTGACTGTCCTCCTGGTAATAGTAAAAACGAACCTGCGTGCCCAGTGTTTGACCCTTTGAAATAAAGTTTGTTCATTCATTTTTCCTGGCTCAATCTTTCCTTGTTACACCTAGCAAAATATGTAAACATTTCATATCTGTGAAGACTAGTTTTTCTTCTGTCTTCTGACAGTTTGTGGTTAACATCTTACTTTTTTGCAGGTATAGTATGTGTCAGTTTTATTTTGGAGGCATAGTGGTGTTGTGGTCTGTCCCTAAACGTGAGCCATCATAGGCTTGATATTCAATTTTTTTTTACTAGTGTGAACTGAGGTTTACCTCCCCTCATAGTGGGCATCAGAATCTTTGAAAGTTAAGGTGGTCATCATAATTCTAATCATATTAGCACACTTATGCTGCTTCTTTCTTTGTTTCTTTCTTTTTCTTTCTTTCTTTCTTTCTTTCTTTCTTTCTTTCTTTCTTTCTTTCTTTCTTTCTTTCTTTCTTTCTTTCTTTCTTTCTTTCTTTCTTTCTTTCTTTCTTTCTTTCTTTCTTTCTTTCTTTCTTTCTTTCTTTCTTTCTTTCTTTCTTTCTTTCTTTCTTTCTTTCTTTCTTTCTTTCTTTCTTTCTTTCTTTCTTTCTTTCTTTCTTTCTTTCTTTCTTTCTATTGTCCATCTTCTGATTTGCACTGCTAGGATTGCAGATTAACAGGTGATCGGTATCTCAGCTAGGGCACACTCAGTTGCCTAGTATGCTGTGATATTTTGGAGTCTCTGGGTATCATTGACTCTTTCAGTCCATCTTATTCCTAATCCCCCTAATCTTGGCATTTCTACTTTTGTGTTGTCGCTTTTGTTGCTAGAATAATTTGATTCATTCTCATTAAATTGCCAAACCATTTCAGCCTTTGTTTTTCATTGAATTTAATTATAAGTTTTGTTCCAGTAGTTCTTGTAATTTCTTCTTTTCTAAAATGATATCTTCTAGTTTTGTTTCACAGCATTTCTCCCACATTATATTTCCCAAATGGTCAGTTTTCTTTTATTTTCTTTAGTCAGTGTCCAAGTCTGACACTTATAGCACAAGGTTGGTATGAAAGTCACATTTATAATTTGTCTTTTTTGGTCTCTGTGAGGATATTTGAGTGTTTAAAAATTGGGGTCAGTTGATCCGTGAAATTGTTGGATTCTTAAGCAGCTTGGGCATGGAAAATGTGTGCTTGGCACCATCTGATCCAAATGAATTTGAGGCTTACAGAGAAATGGGCTTTGCTTTTTTTATCACTGTAGTTATGAGCTATGGCAACACATACTGACCATTTCAAACAGTCACCAGAATGTTGGATCAGGTCTGTGAATTGTCTCAAATATGCCCTGTAAAATTTATTTTGTACTGATTATGCGACAATTTTCAGTGTGTTAATGAAAAATGTAACCTTTACTGAACAAATTAGAGCATCTAATATGTTACGCCATGAAATTGTTATTTAATAAATTTGGATTTTTAATGTGTCTTATGTTGTGTTCTGCTTCTTCTTAGTATCTACCAGCTATAAACTCCAGCGGAAAGTTCTTGTTGTTCGTTCACTTCTGGACTTAAGTCTTGGTACAGTACCTGAGTTTTACATGCACGTCCGTTTTACAGATCTGGTTTTTGTGTGTGCATATTGTTAGTTTCTCACCTCACAGACAGATGCACTCTGACTTCTAAGGAAAAACCCCTAATTAGTCAACTCTTACAACATGATTGTTGGGGGGGGGGGGGGTGGGGGGGGGGCTGTTGATCTATTCTTTTTCCCCACAGAAAAGGGCACCGCTGGAACCCACACAGTGTCATATTTAATTTTGACCAAATAAAGAAATCCTTTTTAATTTTATTTGTTTGGTATTATACCGTATAATTGTTTCCCGACAATAAACATACTTTTATCTTTATTAATTTAAGACACAAATCTGTTTGGGATTAGAAAGAATAACTGTGCATAGATATAAAACAATTTGGTAATCTTTCTTAACTTCATCTGTGTTGAATTAGAACAATTACGATACAAACAGTTGCACATCTTTCTTAATATTATCTGTTCATAATTTAAAAAAAGATGATTCTGCTGAGACTAAATATACATGCATTTTTTTTTTTTCTAACCTAGATGAAAGAGCCAGCAGTTTATTGCTTGAAGCTTTAAAAGAAATCCTCATACAGATGAACAGTTCAGAGTATATTTTAGTTGGTCTAGACAGGCAAGGCCTACAGGATCAACAGACTGCCTCGCCAAATAGGATTATGGAGGCAATCGGTGCAAGCAGTACCCTTCCTTCAGAGGAAACATTGCTGATAACAGGATCAAGGCCTGTGTTAAAGTGTCAGGAATCCTTTCATTCCAGCCTACGGTAAAATTTTGTCTATTGGATACATTACGCTGTAAAAACATTAATTTCGTTTTTGGTAAAGTTTTGTGTAGTAGATATATTACACTTTAAAATAGTGTTTCTTAAATGGTAATGCTTTTCTTCTTCTTCTGCCTTTCTATCCCCCAATGGAGCATAGGCCCTCAACCAACTCACGCCAAGTCGTTCTATCCTTCGCCATTGCATGGAGCTCTCCCCATGTCCTCCCAATCTTTCTAACCTTGTTCTCCAGCTCTCTTCTCCATGTGTTTTTTGGCCTTCCTTTATTCCTAAGCCCCTGTGGGTTCCAATGCAAAGACATTCTAGTAATGCTGTTCTCCTGTTTTCTCAGTGTGTGCCCTATCCAACGCCAGCGTCTTTTCCTCACTTCCTGATCCACTGGAGCCTGTTTAGTTCTCTCCCAAAGTTCTACATTAGTTATTCTATCATACCATTTTATTCCCTCTATTCTGCGCAGGCACCAGTTAATGAATGTCTGTAATTTATTAGTAATTGCCTTGGTTGTTCTCCATGTTTCCGCCCCATACAATAGTACTGATTTGACATTAGAATTAAAATTTTTAGTTTAGTATTTCTTTTAATTTCTTTTGACCTCCACAAATTCCCTAGTGCTATGAAAGCCCCTCTTGCCTTTTGTATTCTTATTTTAATATCTCTATCAGTTCCTCCATCTTTATCTACATTACTGCCTAAATAGGTGTACGACTCCACGTCTTGGAGTGGGGTGCCATTAAGAGAAACCACATTACTATTTGCCTGATTTATTCTCATTATCTTTGTCTTTCCTTTATGGATTTTCAGACCAAGCTGCTTTGATCTCGCATTAAGTATATTTAATTTATTTTGCATCTGATTCCGTGAATGGGACAGAAGAGCAATATCATCAGCGAAGTCCAGATCATCAAGCTGTTTTGTAGGGGTCCACTGAATTCCATTCTTGGTGTTAGCAGTTACTGTTTTCATAGTCCAGTCTATAGCCAGTAAAAATAAGAGGGGCGGCAAAAGACATCCCTGTCGCACACCTGTTTTTATTTCAAATGCATCTGTTAGTTTTCCCTCATGAAGAACTCGACATTTCATGTCTTTATATGTTGCCTTTACTAAGTTGATAATTTTCTGTGGGATTCCATAGTGCCCCATCAATTTCCAGAGAGATTCCCTATCTATGCTGTCAAATGCTTTTTCATGGTCTATAAATCCAATGTAAAGTGGTGAGTTCAGTTCAATGCTTTGCTCTATTATAATACGTAATGTGGCTATCTGATCAGTACAGGATCTGTTTGACCGAAAACCTGCCTGCTCATCTCTTAGCATTTTATCAATAGCATCTTTTAATCTTTCCAAAATAATTCTACTTAATATTTTTCCAGGAACTGAAAGCAACATAATTCCTCTATAGTTTTCACACTCCTGTAGATCACCTTTTTTGGGCAGTTTCACAAGATATCCTTCTCTCCAGTCTGCTGGTATTTCTTCGGTCTCCCAGACTTTACTGAATAATCTATGTAGCAATTCTGTTGATGTGTTTATGTTGGCCCTGATGGCTTCAGCTGGGATACCGCCTGGGCCTGTCGCCTTTCCTTCCTTGAGAAGATTTATAGCTTTCCTAATTTCCTCTTTGGATGGTATCTCACAGTTGATATTCAGTTCCATTTCTAAAGGCTGGATATCTGGGGGAACCTCTGGGCCTGGTCTATTTAGAAGCATTTCAAAATATTCAACCCATCTGTCCATTTGATCTTTAGTGTTAGTAAGTACCTTTCCTTGACTATTTTTGATTGATCCAGTTGGCTGACTATATTTACCTACTAATTTTCTTGTGTTACTGTAAAGTTCTCTGAGGTTTCCTTTTGCTGCCGCTGTCTCTGCTTCTTGTGCTAGATCATTTAGATATTTCACTTTATCTGCCCTTATATGCCTCCTAACTTCCTTGTTGGCTTCTGTGTATTTCTCCTGAGCTCTAGCTTTAGCAGCTCTAGTTTTGCTATTGTTTAATTCTGCCTTTTTACTTTTCCTATCTTCAATCAGTTAAATGGTTTCTGGTGTTATCCATGCTTTATGTTTTCCTTTCTTTCTTGCCAAGAACTTCTACGCAAGATTCATTCCAGATTCCTTTGATCTGATCCCAGCAGACTTCCGTGTTGACATCTTCAGCTAGCTGCTGCAACACCTGGTACTTATTAGAGACCGTAACTGAGAACTGTTCCTTAATTTCTTTATCTCTGAGAAAGCCTACATTATATTGGTTTCTATGATTATAAGATGTTATATATCTTTTTAGTTTCAACTTGATTTTACTTACCACCAGGAAATGGTCAGTAAATACATCGGCACCTCTGAAAGCCCTAACATCGTAAAGGGATGATCTAAACTTTTTGTTAATACATATGTGGTCAATTTGATTAGTTGTCTTATGGTCTGGTGATTCCCATGTTGCCTTGTGTATACTTTTATGGGAAAAAATACTTCCACCAATAACATACTGGTTACCTGCACAAAAATTTGTGAACAATTCTCCATTTTCAATTAATTACTCCTAGACAAAGCCGTATTCCATATTATGAAACAACTGTGCAATCACTCACCTACACTAAATACACCCATTAAAGACAAGCAGGGTAAACTACTGCTATCCGACGACCAACAAACAAAGCGATGGGCAGAACATTTCAAGGAAATATTAAATAGGCCAAATCCTGACATCATTCCCAATTTAGAAGAAGAAATTATTACACCAACACTAATTACCTCCAGCGAGTCATTCACAATAGAGGAGATTAAAACAGCTATTAAAAAATTAAGAATAAACAAAGCTACCGGAGAGGACAACATCTCAGGGGAAATGCTCAAAGCAGCGGATGAAAACACCCTGCAACATTTGCTCCAGCTGATGGATGAAGTCTGGCAAAATGAATACCCACCACAACAATGGAAAGATGGTGTAATCTTCAAATTACCCAAAAAAGGTGATTTATCCGATTGCAACAACTGGAGAGGCATCACCCTGCTTTCGATACCAGGGAAACTATTTTGTAGTATGCTACTAGAAAGATTGAAAAAATCCATAGATGAAAGATTAAGGAAAGAACAAGCCGGTTTTAGATCCAAAACATCATAAAATCTTTTTATAATGAAACACGATGCTGTGTAAGAACTGATTCCGGCAATTCTGACTGGTTCCCGGTGGAAACAGGAGTGAAGCAAGGTTGTGTCCTATCGCCGATGCTTTTTGGTATAGCAATCGACTGGGTCATGCGCAAGTGCATAAATAACGCAAATTTAGACATTACATGGGTTGACAAAATTCTGGAAGACCTAGACTTCGCCGACGACATAGCACTCCTGAGTTCAGAACACACAGACGCCCAAGAAAAAATCAATCGACTCCAGAATTTCTCAGAACAAATTGGACTCCAAATTAACACCGCAAAAACAAAAATTCTAGACCTTACCAACAGTTCAGTTGATATCACGCTGAACAACAACAGCCTTGAAAAAGTCAACAGTTTCACTTATCTAGGGAGCAAGATGTCATCTACAGGAGATATCGCACCAGAAATATCATTTAGAATAGCACTGGCATCTAGTGCCTTCAATAAACTGTCTAACATCAAAGACACTTAGCAAACACACAAAACTCAAGATCTTCAATTCTTGTGTGATTCCAGTACTAACCTATGGATGCGAGAGCTGGAAATCAACGAAAACTCTAGACACAAAATTAGACAGTTTTGAAAATAAATGCCTTAGAAGAATACTAAATTTCAAATGGTCAGATTTCCGAACCAATACACAAATAAGGCAAGAATCCAGGCAAGAGTATGTGTCTAATTTGGAACTATGTCGGCCACGCCCTTAGAATGGATAAATCAAGACTTCCTTACCAAGCCCTCATTTGGACACCACAGGGGAAAAGATCTCGTGGAAGACCAAGGGAAACCCTACGTAGAACTATCATCAGGGAAGGCTCGCTCATGGGCCACTCAAACATCCAAGACCTACAACGGATTGCAACGGACCGCCGTGCATGGAGAGTCGCGACCTCTGCCCTATGTGCCGCACTCGACACAAGAGGAAAGACTAACTAACTAACTCCTAGACCATGTCTCCCCATAATTTCTTCATAACCTGTGTTGTCTGATCCTATCTTAGCATTCAAGTCACCCATCACAATTTTTAAGTTGCCCTTTCTTTCATTATTTATAATATTTTGAAGCTGCATGTAAAATTCTTCCTTAACAGATGCATCTTTATCATTTGTTGGTGCATAACACTGCATTACCGAGATGTTCACCTTCTGTTTAACTGTTCTAAAAGATGCTCTTATTATTCTGGGACTCACAGCTTCCCATTCTATTAGTGCCCTGTCTGCTTCTTTTGATAGCATCAGGGCCACTCCCTCACTGTGCGGCGAATTTTCCTCTGTGTGTCCTGAGAACAAAATAGTTTCTCCTGAATTTAGAATACTTTTCCCTGCCCCAGTCCATCTAGTTTCACATAACCCTAAAATACTAATTCTATAATGTTTCATTTCCTTTGCTACTTCCATTGTTCTCCCTATATCATAGAGAGTTCTAACATTCCAGGTGCCAATTCTGGAGGTTTTCCTAGCTGAGAGGAGGTACGTCAACGGTCCGGACTCCTTACGACTTTCTCCACACCGTGTCATACTTCTTCTATTTGAAGAGCCTTCCCTCATCTTGGTTGGCTGGATTTTATTTGCTTCTCTTTTTGACTTATCCATGGTTGGTTGGTTTTTGTGGCTATGGTTTTTATAGGATGAGCTAGCCAACCTCAAGCCCAACCCTACCCTTAGTCGCCTCTTACGACATGCCTGGTAGGGTGCAGTGTCACTATTCTTTGCTTCCCGTGACACACGGGCGAATGCTTTTGCTAGGATCCAATTAATTTTGAATATAGAGTGTTGTTAATGGTAATTTTATGTACATCACACTTCACAAGTTTCTTTAGTGTAAAGTTTTTTTATAGGATATAAAAACACACTTTAAAATGTTGTTTCATTTATATTAAAATATTGGGTGATAAATATATTGTACTTTCTCCACTAATTACTGACTTCATATGGGCCAGTGGACTGCAATGGTTGGGGCAAATATATAGAATGAGAGATAACAGACATCAGCTGCATGCATAAAAAGGCTGGATAGGCAGAGACCATGATTTAGACTAAGAAGACAGTGGAGAGATAATATACATGCAGGCCTACAAACAAGATGAGGTGGGCAATATCTGCAGCAGTGGACCTCATGGGTTCGGACTGCTGCAAAAGAAGAATAAGAAGATATATTACTTTAAACAGTTTCTGTTAATGATGAAGTTGTACATCAGAGATACTTCTTCTTAGAGTCCATGCGTTGTGGGGTTGGTAGTCATGGCTATCCACAACCTTCTGTCTTTTGTACTTTGCGTCAATTCTGACGCATATGATCTTCTATGCCTTAAAGTCAAACTGTCCAGCATCTGTTCTCTCAGTCTCCCTCTGCCTCTCGTCACATGACCAAAGAATGTAGATTGTCTCTTTCTGATATGTGCAATACGTTCTATTTGTAAGCTAGTTTCTTTCAAGACATCTTCATTAATCTTTTTATCTATCCAGGGTAGTCAGAGATATAGTACACTTTAAATCAGAATTGTATTAATGATAAAATTGTCTGTAGAAATTGCACAGCTCATAAAAGTTTTTCAGTTATATTGTACCCAGAAAAATGAATCCTGTAAGATTTGTTTACAATTACTTCTGAAATAACATTGACACTTTAATTCTTTGTGCCATATTGCAACTGAAATGCAAACCACTTTTTAAATATGACATCTGTCAAAATTTGGACAATTCTTTTATCATTTAGTGCTGCCAAGGCGCAGTGATTTCAGTCACAGCCATGAGGGAAAGTTAAGGCCATTGTGATATGTGTAAGGAGATACTTCATACCTTATCTCAGTCGCCAGAAGGCTTATGGATTCTCATGCAGGGCTCTTGCCACACGCCCATATTGTGCACTACAGATAATGGTTCATCTGTGTCACCTGAACTGAGCTGACAGGAGATCTTGGAGTTGATTGCGATGTAGATCTCGGAGTTGATTGAGATGTAGTAGTGTCCAGTCCGCTGTCATCAGCATGTGCCGACGTTATCATTCCTTGTGTCAGTCCAGGACCTGAGCATCATGTGACGGCTCTGCATTTATAAAAGTTTGCTCTGCATTTATGAAAGTCAGCTTTTCATTTATGAAAGCCTCCTTGGATATCTAGGAATGCCCATAATCTGCCTCTCTTCTCTTGAGGGCCGACCAGTCTACACATGGTTGCTCTTGACAGGTTCTCCAGGGGCAACACCTGTAGATAAGAGAACGAGCACAATACCACACAAAAAAAGGCAACATGTCCCTGTCCCATGAAATTATCCTAGAAGTTAACCTGGTCAACAAATGCTTGATGAAGTTAGATGTGTCGGCCGAAAGGCACAAATATCGCAGATTTGCTGTTAACAAGCACAACACAATTATATCACTCAGATGGATGAAAAGAAGAAGATTTTATATCCTTTACAGGAAATTGCAAAGTATCCCTAGCATTTGTTGGCTGTTTTCCCTGTGTGAGTTCCAGGGCCCCATTATTAGGGGGAAAAGGAATAGACCCAGTGCCTCTCTAACAAACATGTTGTAAGATGAGACCTATTAAGGTTTTCCTTCAAAGTCAGAGTGCATCTGGCTGAGAGGCAAATAACTAACAATCAACATACAAATAAATATAGATCTGTAAAATGGATGCATGCAAAACTCAAGTTCTGGATCAAGACTAAAGTCCAGAAGTGGATGAACAACAAGAACTTTCCATCAGGGTTTACAGGCAGTGAAAGGGAAGTGAAGAAGAAGAAAGAGTTGGCTGTTTGTGGTTTTATTAGGCACTCTTATGTTCAGTAGTTTTCCATTGCTTTCTGAATGGTCAAAGTTCCATACTATTATCAAAATCAACACAGAGCAATCTTCTGCCATATTGCCAGGAGTCAGACTTGTTATTTTGGAATAATGAATATGTTAATAACCTCTTAACCACAGATACCAGCGATTAACTTGGCAGTAACTAAAACTGCATATTGTATACCAGCGATTAACTTGGCAGTTACCATAACGGCATATTGTATACCAGTAAGAGTTGGAAAACATTGAATCTTTAAGATTTGTTTTTATTTTTTTACTAGGTTTTATAAATGCAATAGTCAAGAGGATTTACACACAGCTATGTCAAGAGCCATGCCAGAATTTCAGTCTAGCTTTGGTGTTCTTCTCTATCTGTATTCAATATTGCTCACAAAAGTAAGTATCCCTCTGTTGGATATAGATATTTATAATCCAAGTGTATGTAGCTTATATTACAAAAGTTATAAGACAAAGAATGTGGCTCTAATATTGGGCACACCCTGAGAAGAAACAAGCAGAGAATCACTAAACAGGCACTATAATGGGAAATAATAGGACAGAGGAAGCGCAGCATTCAACAGAAACCCTAAAATGGATGTGAAAGAGGCCAGGGGCTAGACTGGATTTCTTCCTTGGCATCGAAGAGATTGCACAAAATAGAAACAGAATGAAGGATTTGACTGCAAGTCCTCCAACTGTAGGTTCTGGGGCCAAATTGTAGAGATAAGAGATGCAAATAAGCCAGGTCTGGATACAAATATGCCAGATATAGATACAAATATGCCAAATCTAGATACAAAGATGACTAATCTGGATACAAATAATCCAGATCTGGATACAAATAGGTCTTACAAATCAGTGGATACGAATAAGTCATCTGAATACAAATAAGCTAGATCTGGATACAAATAAGCTAGATCAAGATACAAATGTGCGAAATCTGGATACAAATAAGCCAGATCTAGAGGCAGATCAGCTAGATCTAGATACAACAAAGCTGATCTAATACAAATAAGCCTAGATCTGGATACAAATATGCTGGATAAGAATAAGCAGATCTGTATACAGTTATGCCAGAACTGGATACAAATATGCCAAATCTAGAGACAAATGTGCCAAATCTTAATACAAATATGCCAAATCTGGATACAGATAAGCCAGATCTGGATACAAATATGTCAGGTCTTACAAATTAGTGGATACAAATATATTGTCTAAATACAAATAAGCTAGATCTGGATACAAATAAGCCAGATCTGGATACAAATTTTCAGATCTAGGTAAAAATATGGATACAAATATGCCAAATCTATACAAATATGCCACATCTTAATATAAAAATTACAAATCTGGATACAAATAAGCCAGATCTGGATACAAGAAAGATCAAAATAATATGCCAAATCTGGATACAAATAAGCCAGATTTAGATACAAATATGCCAAATCTAGATACAAATAAACCAGATCAGGATACAAATCAGTCAAACATAGAAGACCTTACCAGTAAGAGTGGGAACTAGCCAGCAGGCACTGCAGAATCGTAAGCTTGGCAAATGATTCATGACAATTTAAGCCCATGTGATTATCTGAACAGATAGTTCATTGTTAAGAAGCAGAGATAGTGCATGGGGATTCATAGCAGCAGTGAATGGACATTGCTTAGTGCAATAAAGCCTTGCATATGATATCACTACTTCTAGTATGAGAATGGAGGTGGAGGCAGTCACTGACCAGCTCATATAACTCTTGGGATTATTGGAACACAAGCCCTTATACCACTTCAAGGTGGAGGCACATTAGCAGGGACTCAGCTGATGAACTCTGCATACAGAAAGAGATGGTTCTGTCTTTACGGCTGCCCTGGTAAAAACAGGCAGTTATGTTTGATCGTTGTTGAAATTGTATTTCAGTTATAAAGGATTCACTTATTTGCTTCATTTATGTAATTGTTACTGTAGTATGCACCTGACAAGATACACGAAATATGACAGGCAAAAAATTGTACAATCTATTGTTTGTGTCTTCTTTGTTCTAATGTAACTAGAACATTTACAATATATGATTTTGATCTCTCCCACACAGTATGAAAGACTAATGTTTTTGTTTGTCGCTGCAGTGTTTGTAGCTTCTGTTTAATATGTTGTACAGCAGTAATAAACATGTGTTGTATTTTTTTTCTAAATGTGTTCAGGGTATTCAGCAAATAAAGAATGAAATTGAAGATCCCACAGAACCACTTATTGATGGCATTTATGGACATGGAAGGTTAGCAGGTTTACTATTTTTTTTGTTTAGCCATTTGGATTCTTTAGTGAAAAGTTGACTGCATAACATAAATAACTGAGGAGGGTTGATGATAATTTATCTGTCTCATCTGTAGAAAACTTTAGCTGCAAAATGTAACCACTCATCAGCATTTCTACAGAGAGCTTGGCAAATGGAGGCATAAGTTGAATGAGAGCGTTTACTTATTTGTGAGATGAATTGCAGGAAAAAAGAATAATCGGTTGTTTCTTATTTTACACCCTCTTTTTATTTTACTTCCTTCAGTTCAGCTGCTTCTTTGAAGTGTTGGTGATAGATGTAAGCATAATCTGTGTGTTCATTGTTGTTCATTTATCACAATTGATGAGGACCACTCTTTCTTTTGTCCGTTATGAAACTATAGTTGAGTTCTGTGAATCCGGAGGTGATTTATCAGCCCAACACGGGCCCTGAAAGATCTGGGGCAATGAGGGCAGGGAACAGTGTCTGTAGGTTTGGGGCTGATGTGCAGGTCTTTCTAGCCTGCCTGCACTGCTCAGCTGTCCTTTATCCTGAAGCCTCACAGGTCGCTGCCCCTCTTCAAGGCTGTTCTTGATGCCGTCTTTCCATATTTTGCATGGTTTTTCCATATTCTGTGTCCATTGTATTTCTTCAGCATAGCTGAAGCTGTGGCGTTTGGTACCAGGGCATTCTCATTAGACTGCCAAACCATATCATCTGTTGCTGCTTAATAAATTTATATCTTTATTTTTAAATGTATCTCTTCTTTTTACTCCAGCAGCTCTTCTAAGACATCTCATCTCTTTTTATTATTTTGCACCCATTAGTTTTAGTAAAGTTTGACACTGGTAATGTAAAAATGGGCCAAAAACTAATTCTGATTAGATTTGCCTTGCAAGACAAAGGTAGGTAAATTTCTGTGTATCAGAAGTGACATTAGTTGTCCTAGACCTTTGGATCAGCTCAAGGTTGTTGATGTCTTGGGAATTTATTTGTGCAATGACCTCACAAAAGTGTAGATAGATCTTGACCAGAGTGAGCCCTCACCCATGTGTCACCGGGGCCCTCACGGGAAGCAAAGAATAGTGACACTGCGCCCTACCAGGCATGTCCTAAGAGGCGACTAAGTGTAGGGTTGGGCTTGAGGTTGGCTACCTCATCCTGTAAAAACAATAGCCACAAAAACCAACTAACCATGGATAAGTCAAAAAGAGAAGCAAGTAAAACCCAGCCAACCAAGATAAGGGGAGGCTCTTCAAGTAGAAGAAGTATGACATGGTGTGGAGAAAGTCGAAAGGAGTCCGGAAAACCCTTCAGAATTGGCACCTGGAATGTTTAAAGGAAGAACAATGGAAGTAGTAAGGGAAATGAAACATTATGGAATTAGTATTTTAGGGTTATGTGAAACTAGATGGACTGGGGCGGGCAAAAGTATCCTAAATTCAGGGGAAACTGTTCTCAGAACACACAGAAGAAATTGAAGTTAGAAAAATGGGAGGGACATGAAGAGAGCTGCATATGATAGTAAAGGATAGAATGACTTGGCATGAGTTGAAGGCCTATGCTCCATTGGAGGCTAAACAGGCAGAAGAAAAAGAATTGTAAGAAAAAGAAGTGTGAGCTCTAATCCTGATGCACCACCACATGTGGTTCTGCATCTCTGCATCCCATTTAGTTTAATCAGAAGCCATGTGACATGTATATCCAGATAAGACAGAATACATGATAATAACAAGACAGGAAAAGAATATAAACTTCAGCCACATACAAATTGATAATATAAAAATCAAACGAACGGAAACCAATAAATACTTGGGGTGCAAACTTCAACTACTCCAACATGCTGAGAGAAAAAAAAATGTAATCTAGAATACAATCTGGAAATAAAGTAAGTATACTATGCATAACAACATCTGCTAAAGTCAAAGTGTCTATCTAGCAACACCAAGATCAAAATATATAAAACTTTGATAAGACCAGTTGTTGTATATGGCTCTGAAACTTGTAGCACAGCTAAAATATGAAGCTTTGGATCCATCAAAGATGCAAACAATGGGGGATAGAGAGTGAGAAGCAACAACAAAATTCATAATCTCTTCAATTCCCTGTGTGGGTTCCGGGGCCCTATTATATGGAAAACAAGAATAGAACCACTGCCTACCCAAAAGCATGTGGTAAGAGTAGACTAATTGGGAGATGCCTTCGGAGTTGGAGTACGTCTGCCTGAGAGGCAAGAACCAGCAGTCTGCATACAAATGAGTCAGATCTGTAAAACATGCACACACAACATTCAGGTTGTGGAACAGGACTGCAGTCCTAAAGTGGATGAACAACCAGAACTTTCCACCAGAGTTTACAGCTTATGTACACAAAGAAGAAAAAGTGGATAATCTCTTTAAATCCCCATTGATCACTGGCATCATTAGGGTTAACGAACCGAAATGGATGAGGCATATTGAGAGAATATCAGATAACAGAGAGGTAGAAACTGTATTCACAAGGGAGCTGAATGGTCATAGATCACGAGGCAGACCAAGAAGATGATGGAAAGATAATATCCAGACAGACCTACAAACACTGGACAGAGCTGGCTAACTAGAGAGATGAATAGAGGCAGGTGATATCTGCAGCAAAAAAACATCAAGTATGTATTTTAGTTGTAACGGATCTCGTACACTCTGTCTCTCACTGTGCTTGTACACTCCCTCAGACTAGTGTCTGTCCACCTCGTAAAGTTATCTTCCATTTATATCGTTGTCTGCCTCTTGCATGCCTAGTACTTTCCCCTCCAGAACAGTTTTTAAAAGAGTGTTATACCTGTTAATGTTTCTGAAATAGTTACATTCTTTCATTCACAGCCAGAGTCTCATTAATCTGCTGCTGACATCACAAGCAACCTCCAATGTATGGGACAATGACAAAGAAATTTCAGGATTGAGTATGTGTTTGAAATGTGTTCTCATGTTGGTCGAGTAGTTTATGAAGGAGTATGGATATTTGGTAATGGTGACTACATTCATACAAAGGAGCTTGAAATTAAAATGTTAAAAGTGATAAAAATTTCAGTAGCTATGATATTTTCTAGTAACTTGTCAATATTGTTGTTAAGAATAACAAGAATGTTGAGCAAGTGACATCACGGTGCAGATGAACACAGTGACATCACAATGCCAGTTTAAAGATGGCTGCCCCACTTTCGACATGCTCCAAATAGGAGCAGTGTTCTGTTACCCACCTTGTAGACACTTTGCGATACTGTGGTGTGTTGAACCTTGACTGATGCCAAGATGTGGGGCAATGTCACTCACAATCCGTCAGTAGTTTTCATTTACCAGGCCTTCCGCGTCTGCAATCCACTCTTGGGTCATTACTGTGTGGGCCTGACCAAGACCCTCTCCATCTGAGGTGCCATGCTGCTGACATCACCAGACCAGGCTAACGACACATTAGCACATCTTTCGCCCGGTTTGGTGATGTCAAAAGCATGGCCCGTCAGATGGAGATGGTCTTGGCCTTACCTAGTTGTGAAGTCTGCCACAGAATTCCTGCCGTTTTGAAACTTCCTGCTCCACTCATTGAGTAGGAAAATCAGATTTATTCACTTGCTGGACTCACAGGCATGCATCACCATAATAAATCTATACTCGCTGATGAATTTCTAAAGCTCCCACCACTTCACTAATTTTTAAAAAAAGTGGATAACAGAACACTGCTCCTCTTTGGTGCCTGTCAAAATTGAGGCCGCAATCTTTAAACTGTCATTATTACGTCACCATGTTCATCTCCACCGTGGTGTCATGTGCTTAACACTCTTGACATCTTTAACAACAGTATTGACAGGTTATAAGGTAATGGCATGGTTACTGTATTTCTGTATCACTTTTAAGATTGTCATTTAAAGCCCTTCATATGTATTTGATCATATAATTTATGATGAAGCCTTCAGCGGTTCTCAACATGTGGGTCGCAACCCTTAAAGGGGTCGGACGACCCTTTCACCGGGTCACCTGAGACCATCGGAAAACATTCACTGAAGTGAAGAAATAGCAAAAAAAACAATGTTATGGTTGAAGGTCACTACGACTTGAGGAACTGTATTAAAGGGTCGTGGCATTAGGAAGGTTGGGAGCTACTGTCTTAGACAGAGCTGAGTGTCAAAGACTGAAAAGAGAAAGGCATTGGATGGTGCAAGCTGAATTATACTAAATACACAATTAGACATTTGTGCAGCTTGATAACATTGGGCAAGGAGAGGAGTGGGTCAGAGTGTCCCAGCAAAAGTTAGACTTATGTAGGGTTCTAATCACATTGGGCATTAGTACAGGGACTGGCCAGCTGGCGCTGCAGAATCAGAAGTTCAGCAAATGATACATGACAATTCTTGCCCAGGTGATGTGATTATCTATACAGATGGCTCTGTGTTGACAAGCAGACAAAGTTGGGTTTTTTCTTAGCAATAGCCAATGGATGTTGCTCAGTGTAGCCAAGCCTTGCATATGACACCACAACATCAAGCTTGAGAATGGAGGTGGAGGCAGTCACTGCAGCCTTTCTTTGGCCTGAGAATCAGTTATACACACATGCCGTAATTATAACTTACTCACAAAGCATACTGAGAGAGGTGTAGACAGGTATGCTTCATGAAGAGGGGCAAGCATCACTTCAGAGGTCCAGGGTAGTTAGATTTCCTCCAGGTCATGGCAGTGTTTTAGGAAATGAACAGGCAGATAGTCTGGCTGGTTCTGCACAAGTTGGTGGTGGACCAAGAGCCCTTTGGGGGTGAGTGAACAGTGCAGAGGCACAGTTGGATCATCATGGTCTAAGGAGAAGGGTGCTGCGAGAAGTGAACAGATCTGGCCAACGATCAGCACTCAGCGAAAAGGTGGGACAGATATACAATCAGACTGTCTTTTATAGCATCAGAATTAAAACTCTGCATTTGCTGCTGAAGATGGGGACAGATCATTTATAGGAATGTCCTGAGTGTTGTGATGTTGAATCTTAGTTAACTCTTTCAGAACTATGGAACATATGATGGGCAATAGTCTTTTTCACATTAGTCACAGCACACTATAGAAGTCTGGCTTCCATACTGGCAACTTCCATTGTGTTATTTGCCATTTTGAATGTTATGTGTTCGTGATTTTTTAGAGGGTCATTCATTGCCTTGGGTATTTTCTGTAAGGGCCTCTGGGATTAAATGAGTTAAACATTAAATATAATGAGGGTGTGTGGTGTGTTGGTAATGGTGGCTGTACATTCATATGTGTGTGGATGTAAGGAGTTGTTAGAAGAGAAAATGGTACTAAGAAATGTACAGTTTAGTCTAGAGAGTTATTTTGGAGCGTTCTCAGGAAGGATAACTTGGTCAGCAATTGACTGCAAAAATGCATATATTATCCAAAAGGCTGAAAATTTGTTTGTACATATCTTCTTCTTCTTCTTTCATTCGCTTGAAATAGATTATCCATATCTGCAGTATTGTCTCTAGTATGAACTTTACTGTCTTTTGTAATTCACTCAGCGACCCGTAAAGTTTGACTTGCACCGATGTTTCTCTTGGCCAAAAGTTCTGCCTTGATATGTTGTATTTGGGACTGTCTTGGAGGACATGATCTGTTGTCTCAGGTGCCAGTCCACATGTGCACATGGCTGATTCACCAGTTTGTGAAAAAGAGGAAGAGTCTGAGACATTCAAACAAATTCACATAATTAGGTACATGGATAACAACGAGGATTCAGCGGTTCAAAAAGAAATGCTCAAGATGAAAATAGGAGATGTTTTAGAAATAGGGAAAATAGAGGCCAGCAGAAGGTTAAGACCATGGTAGGGAAAATCAGTATATGTGGATGGACAAGCCAGAATTACAGGTCATCAAAGAACAACAAATGAAGTGGGTTGGACACCTAACAAAAATGCCCTGGTACTATCTGCCACAGCGAGCCACACTAAAACGTTACAACAGGTATAGAGCAAGTGGAAGACCTTGGAAAAGATGGAGTGATGACATTAAGAACAGCCTTACAAAAATGAACATAGTCCTAATAGTTCTCTTGATTAACGAATGTTACATCTCCCCCCAACACTTCGATGAGGTACAAGGTGCAAGAGAAGAAGAAGAAAAGAAAAAGAAGATAGCATCGACTAAAAGAATGAATGAACAAATACACTTTTTTTAAAATTTTAATTTAGTTAATTTTTTAACAAATGAATTTGACAGAAATTGTATACCTGAATGTGCAAAAATGGAGATTTATTTGTTGCAGAACTAAAAGGCATTCAGAAACAGTCAACCATCGGATTTCTGACTCTGCTGGAGCACATGAGATACTGTGAGGTAGATATGCATTGTCAGATGTTATTATACCTACTCACCCACACTGGAATGTTGGTTACTTTATCAGGTGCGCCAGTATAACTGTTATTAGGTTGAATATAGAGCTGCCATGGTGTAGCGGCTAGACGCTGGCCTGCAGATCACAGGGTTGTGGATTCAGGTCCTGATGGAGCCGACTTTTTTCAGAAATGACTTGACTCCTAGGTCGACCTAGCCTTAAATGGGTACCAGGGAAAGTCCTAGGAAGTAAAGATAGCCAACATGATGATGACCTCACCACCACCGAGTGCCTATTGGTCTATAAAAATAGGTCTAGTCCTATATGCCGAATACAACTGAAGGTTTGGGAAAGGATCCTTTACGTTCTTTACTTTTATTTCCCTCAAAGTCAGAATACATCTGCTCGTGAGGCAGGGAACAGCAAAACGGTTTTTCACGCAAAACTCAGGTCCAGGTAAAAGCCAAAAGCTCAAGCGGACGATTAACCGGGACCTTCCGTCGGAATTCACAGCCGGTGAATGAAGAAGAGGAAGAATTTACTTTTGTTAGGCTGAACAGGGTTTCTGGGATTTGATGTTGTTTGATTCCCATCCATTTTTAGTAACTTTTTATACTGTGACTTCATCCCTGTGTGGGTCCCAGGGCCCCTGAGGGGGGTGGGGGGTATGGAGAGAACAGCTTCACTGCACGCCTGACAAGCAGTTTGTAAAAGGGGACTAATTAGGTGCTGTTTCTTGGACATTCAAGTGCATCTGCCTGAGAGGCAGGGAAACAACAGTCTGTATACAACTAGGCTAGGTCTTTAAAAACAGATGTGCACACAAATTTCCAGTTCTGAAACAAGATGTTAAGCCGGGAGTGGACGAATAAGCAGAACTTTCCTCAAGAGTCTTCACCTGCTGAACACTAAGAATAATAAGACTGTAACTTCATATAAATGATCTTCAGCATGTGCCATCCTGATAAACATGGGAGACAATGGATCACAATGTTATTACAATCGACGTCTTTACACATTGGGCATCCCCATGTGTGCTTAGTCCTCAGAGGCAGCAGCCACTCCAAGGTATCTCTACTGATTGTTTCCATGAGAAGTTGGTTATAATGTACCCTGTCTTTACCTTGAAGATGGCATATACGTGCTTTACCAAGCTTAACTCCTCAATCATGCAGTCATATTAGCATCAAAGATTTGTCATCCATCAACCGAGTCCATACAGCGTTGATGTTATCAGCTCTGTACATGCTTCTTCTCTTTTGCATTGGTGCATTACCTGCCAGCTTGTCAGCTCTTTCATTATCATTTAGTCCTGCTTACTCAGGTGTGTAGATCCAGATGATGGATGTTAACTGCAACATTTGAATGCTTTCTACCCATTCGGAGCATAGATTAGCAGGTAGCAATTTTCTGAAGTATGTTCATAGAGTTTGAAATGTGTGGCTGCTTGTTCTCCTACCCTTGCAAGTGCTCTGGAAGCAGCAGTATTTTTCCATGGTCAGGCTTGATGTAGTTCTCTGGTAAGGACAGCTATCCTCTTTTATTGTTTTCCCCATCCTTTGGGCTGTGTATGCCCATGCTGATCTTGACCCGTGCTTCACTGACCCATCTGTGTAAATGATGACATCTTCTGGGTGTGAATGCTGATCAATCAGTGCTCTAATCTCTGTGTCTGTGGTGACAGGAAGCTGACTCTTGCAGTACCTCCCCAGTGTTAGGACAACTTTAGACAAGTCATGCGTCTACTGATGTGTCAGTCCATTCTTTTCTGTGACTGATCTCATTTACTTGTTGGATTAGATTTCTGCCTCAGCCATCCAGGAGGAGCCTCTTTTGAGATGCATCCCTCCTTTTAAATCATTGATAGAGTAAAGACAGCGATGGACATGGAGCAGAGAATGCTGTTCACACTTTACCAGCACCTAATAATCATCTCAGTGATTGATTATGGATTGGGGTTACTCACTGTCTCGAAGAGTCAGCTAGAGAAACTGGAACGCATACAAAATAACGCTATGCGGCTGATCCTGAGTTGTACAAGAGACACCCCGATTGTGTGCATGTGATACATCCTTGCATTGCTAACTATTGCAAATAGGCTAAAGGTGCTGCAGGCTAAGTCATATCTCAGAGTAGCTGCAGACAGGGAACACCCTTTGTATGCAGGGGTCAGAGGCTGAAAAGGGGAAAATCGTGGATAGCTCAAGCAGAAGACACAATAAGACACATATGCATGCTGGAGAACATTGGGCGAGGAGAGGAGTGGGTCAGAGTACCAGCGGGAAAGTCTGACCTGTGTAGGGTTATGATAACATTGGGCTCAGTGTGCAGAGAGAGTGGCCAGCTGGTGCTACGAAGGTTGAAGTCCAACAGTTGATTCATGACAATTCTCGCCCAGGTTATCTGATTATCTATACAGATGGTTCAGTGTTGAGAGGAAAGAGAAGTCCCTAGGGGTTCGTGGCGAAAGCCAATGGAAAATCTTTAGTGCAAGACAGCCTAGCATATGACACCACAACATCTAGCATGAGAATGGAGGTGGAGGCGGTAACTGAGGCTCTCCGGTGGCTAGAGAACAAGATGCATACTCATGTCGTAATTGTAACAAACTCTGAAAGCATGCTGAAAAAGTTGAGGACAGGGATGCTTCGAGCAGAGTAGCAAGCTTCACTGGAAAGGTCACGGGTGGTGAGCATACTTTGCATCTTTTCTCCAGGCAATGCCGACATAGTGGGTAATGAACAGACAGACAGATTGGCTGGATCCGCACCACTGGGTGGTGAATTGATACATGACAAGGTAGATGTGGTCAAGGCCCTTTGGGAACAATCAACGGAATCAGTAGAGAAAATAAATTATTATGGCCTGGAGAGAATGAGGCATCTGGGTGTAACCAGAGGGTCTAGCCGACTCACTACGCTTAGAGGAAAGGCAAGATGGACATTTAACCAGATTGTGACCAGTACCATCAGTATTGGAGCTCTGCGCTGGTGGCTGAAGATAAGGATGGAGCATGCATGGGAATGCCCCAAGTGCTGTGATGTCAATTCTTTACTCAACTCAACTCAACTGATAGAGTTGTGCAGTGGGTGGTTGGCGTCTGCTGAAATTCTCATGTACGCTTTCACCTGCGCCACTTTATGTCTGGTTGCCATCATCGGTAAATACAGGACATACCGCATGGCGTGGCACAAGGTGTCTTTTGTGCAGCGAAGTATGAATCTCATGGCCTCATTTTGCACCTGGTCCAGTCTTTCTACCTGGTTTCTGCTGACAGTTAGGAGGCCCAGACTATAGTCTGTAACACTTAGTTCTGCCTCAGCCATCTAAGTCCCTGATAGATAATCTCACACTATTAATCAAGTTTTTAATCAAGTCTGTTTCTTGCCCTGATTATACCATTTTACAAAATCATCTTGGTAACTTTGTTGCACTTAATGTCCTTTTTCCATCAAGTTTGCTGGTTGCTACTAAGTTTTCTAGTTTACCTGTCTTCAACCCCCCCTCCCCCCTCCAACAAAAAAACACTAGCATTTATGACTTGTGAACATGCCCTGTTGGTTTGTCAGGATGAGGTTCCTAAAGTCTCAGGGTAGTCAAACCAAGCTGTATAGAATCAGGAGCCCCATTAGTGCACCGCTGGACACTCACCTGCCTGTCTAAAGGTCTAGGGTTCTTTTTCTTCGCATTCACCGGCTGCAAACTCCAGAAGAAAGTTCTGATTGTTCGTCCACCTCTGAACTTTAGTCTTGTTCCACAGCTTGAATGTTGCTTGCACAAATGTTTTACAGACCTGACTTATTTGCAGGGAGACTGTTTGTTCCTCGCCTCTCCGGCAGATGCACTTTGACTTCAAAGTAAACACCCCTAATTATCGACTTTTACAGCATGCTTGTTAGGGGGTAGTGGGTGTATTCTTGTCTCCCCAAAATAAGGTTCCGAAACCCACATTGGGAAGACAGTATTGATATCCATCACTGCATGTATTAACTAATACTTAAACCTGTTGAATTTGACGCTATACATCAGATAAGAATAAAGAGGAACACTGCATAAAAATATAAATAAAAGTTAATATATTTTGGATTGAATATCATAAAAAAAATTTGAAAACCAGAGCTGTAATACAAATTATGTAAGTAAAAAAAAATTTTTTTTTCAGACTTCATCTTGACTGTTTTTATTGTATTTCCAAACAGGTTGGTTGGTTTTTCAAAAACCCCAAATTCCCCATTTGGCTTTTAGGAAGTGAGACGCATCTTACAGTTTTATTTTCTACTGTAAGTTTGCCACTGTGTGTGTTAAAAACACTGTCTGTGTTATAACTGATGAATATACAGTATTTCTGCAGAGTAGAAATTATATCAAAGATTGTGTGTAGGATAAAATATGATTGTATTTCTTTTTCTATTCTGTTCATCTGATATTTTTTCTTTGGATTCAGGCATTATTGCATTGTGACATTTCACAGCAGAGCTGCAATATTTGCACTCTTAAGCTACACATCTGGACTATTTCATTATTTTTTTTCAGGGTTACCATCCTGGTCATCATGTTTCAAGGGCTCAGGTATTTGTTGTCAGGGTTACCTTCCTGGTCATCATGTTTCAAGGGCTCGTATTTGTTGTCAGGGTTATCATCCTGGTCATCATGTTTCAAGGGCTCAGGTATTTGTTGTCAGGATTACCTTCCTGGTCATCATGTTTCAAGGGCTCAGGTATTTGTTGTCAGGGTTATCATCCTGGTCATCATGTTTCAAGGGCTCAGGTATTTGTTGTCAGGGTTACCTTCCTGGTCATCATGTTTCAAGGGCTCAGGTATTTGTTGTCAAGGTTACCTTCCTGGTCATCATGTTTGGAGGGCTCAGGTATTTGTTATCAGGGATATCATCCTGGTCATCATGTTTCAAGGGCTCAGGTATTTGTTGTCAGGGTTACCTTCCTGGTCATCATGTTTCAAGGGCTCAGGTATTTGTTGTCAGGGTTACCTTCCTGGTCATCATGTTTCAAGGGCTCAGGTATTTGTTGTCAGGGTTATCATCCTGGTCATCATGTTTCAAGGGCTCAGGTATTTGTTGTCAGGGTTACCTTCCTGGTCATCATGTTTCAAGGGCTCAGGTATTTGTTGTCAGGGTTATCATCCTGGTCATCATGTTTCAAGGGCTCAGGTATTTGTTGTCAGGGTTACCATCCTGGTCATCATGTTTCAAGGGCTTAGGTATTTGTTGTCAGGGTTACCTTCCTGGTCATCATTTTTGAAGGGCTCAGGTATTTGTTGTCAGGGTTACCCTTATGGTTATCATGTTTCAAGGGCTCAGGTATTTCTTTGTCAGTATTACCCTCCTGGTCATTTAGCTTCAAGGGCTCTGATATTTACTTGTAAAGGCAGTCCATAGGTCCTCAAACTATCTTCCTATTTGGTCATCCTCTTGCTTTTGTACCATTGTGTTAAAACTGCATTTTCCTCTGGTTGTAGAGGGTGTGTCAGCTTGTGACCGCTTCTGTTGTCATACTTGTTACACTACAAAACACCAATCTGTTATTTCTGTGCATAAGTTAGCACATATATTGTTTTAACTCATATGTTGGCTTATTTCTTCTATTTTCTTTTTTTGTTTGTCCACATATTCTTCTCAAACACCACATTTCCAAGTTCTTCTTACTATGTTTTCTGTTCTGTAGTTACCCATGTTTGACTCTGCAGCATTGTATTACGAACTGACACTTTTAAAAAGACCAGAAGCTGAATGAGAAATGTCTTTATAATGTTCCTATAGACGTTTTCTTAAAGATTGTATTTTTCTTCTTCTGTTGAAAATTCTGGTTGTTTGTCCACTTCTGGACTTCGATCTTATTCTAGAACCTGTTTTGCTTGCACATTCGTTTTACAGATCTGGCTTATTTGTGTGTACACTGTTGGTTCCTCAACTCCCAGGCGGATACACTCAGATTTTAAAGGAAACACCTTTAATTTGTCAGCTTTTACGACTTGATTGTTAGAATATCAGTGTGTCTATTAATTTTCTGTCCAAAATGGGGCCTAGAACCCACATGGGGATGCCTCCTTTCTAGATTTAGGAGTGTTTTAGTTCTATCCTCTGTACTATCGTGATATCTTACCCCAAACAAGGGAAATCCTCTGGAAATCAACAGCTGACGGGACAGTCGACTATTTCAGGGGGTGTGTAGAGTTAGTAATTTGGCAGTTTATTTGCCCTGCAGATTTGTGCTGTGCAGTTGTGAGTTTTGTGAACTTATTGTACTGTTTATGTGTGTGTGTGTGTTCATTTTTCTGTGTGTTGGTGCAATAGGGAGCTGGTTTTTTGGTGTTCATTTTTCTGTGTGTTGGTGCAATAGGGAGCTGGTTTTTTGGTGTTCATTTTTCTGTGTGTTGGTGCAATAGGGAGCTGGTTTTTTGGTGTTCATTTTTCTGTGTGTTGGTGCAATAGGGAGGATGCAGTTTTTGTGGGTGTTTCCTTGTTAATTTGCTGGGGAGGAGGACCTAGGCTACATGTAGTCGTCTGACCTAGGCTGCATGCAGTCGTGGAACATGCTGCATGTAGTCATGGGACCTAGGCTGCATGCAGTTGGGGGACCTAGGCTGCATGCAGTTGTGGGACGTAAGTGGGTTTGGGTTACTGCTAGTTGTAGATGTTTTGGGGTCGTTAAAAGCACTCACATTGTGGAATATAGAACACTCGATATTGCCGGCATCTGGCAAACAAGGTTTCTTTCTTTTTTTTTTGCAGGGTAGGAAGATGCTGTTTTGCAGTTTGATTGTGTGTGTGAAACTCTATGTGCAATCGGAGACATTGCCAATTGGGGTACTTTGGGTGTGGCCCTAAAAAGGGCCAATCATTCTAGATGTACACTGCTGGGTTCACGCATGAATTGACAGTCACAACAGTTTTACACGTTAATAGATCTGGAGAGAGATGGGAATGTGGAGAGACGACAGACTATTGATCTAGTGGCTAGAATGCAACAACATCGCCGGCAGCTGACAAGGTTTTTTTCTTTCTCTTTTATTCTGAGTAGGAGAATGGTTGTAATTGAAAAGTTAACAAGAGATAATACATCTAAAATTTAAAAAAATATTTTTTCTAATGGGCCTTGAATCCACAATCTTCAGCTCCAGAGACTAACACATTATCCATTAAACCACAGATTCCACTTAAAGATGTGCCGTTTCCTATATATGTCTTGGAAGACACTTGGCAACGCCATAATCATAGCACCCTCGAAATTATTTGACTGTTCTGTGGCATCATTGTAATGTCAATACGATAACTAAAGACAATAGTACCTCCTTTTCTAGTACATTTAGTGATCTCTGTCCTCCTGTCAATCCTTCATCCACATTTTCATCATTCAGGAATTCTCTGTACCAATAGTTTCAGTTTCCATGATCCATCTTGAGATGACACACTCTGCTGGTGCAGTATTACTCCTCCAGCATCTGGCATCCTGGTCTGTCCATGCCCTGAATCAAACTTATGTGTAAATTGGCTGGGACCTGCAGATGTTTTTGTGGATATGACTTCTAAGTTGATGACTGGTCTGAAAATGTCTAGTTACGGCTCTATTCTGACCCGTCACAATTAGCCACCTGGAAACAAATGCACAGAACTGTCTCTTCTGTCCATCTGAACTGCAAGATTTCTTTACTCTTCCAACGTAAATGGGTTCCCAGGCAAAATTGTGACACTGATCTAATGTCCATTGAGATGGAAATTATTTCAAGGTGAATGAAACTTCGTTAGTGCGACACTTCTGTCACTGCTTGGAAGATTGCCTTGGTTTGTCAGTCTTTCATTTACCTTACCAATTTAAATTAACTTTCCGTTCTTTTTAGGATGACATTTTTTGTTATTTGAAGCCCTACTCTGGCTCTGGCCAGGGGCCGCAATATAGCCTGGCCATAAATATGGCCTAAAGGCTGAACGCGGTTTCTGGGACCTCTCCACGGTGATCCTCACCCACATGGTGGCACATTGTGTCATCGGGTATTTATCGCTTGTGTGATGTCCTGGTGGGGTAAAAAGTCAGTCAATTTACATTTACAACAGTTTATGTGGGGTTTGTGAGTTTTCTTTGCTCTTACAAAGGAACTGGAATAGATTTTTTAGAAAATAAGAAGAGAATGATGTACATCTCTTCTAAGTCTGAGATGGATGTTTGGATGTCTAGCTGTCTTGAACAAGAGTAGACAACTCAGGCAATACATATGCACAGGGCAGACATTAACAATTCTCTTGATAGCTGGAAACAAAAAAAGAGCAAGAGGAATAGGCGACAACCCTGACAAAATTTAAAAAAAATTCCGAATAGAGAAAGCCACCCACAAAAATGACGACAATATTATCATGAGTGATTGTGGCATAGGCCTACAGCCTTTTAAATTATGGGTATCATGCACTGAGCTGAAATTCTCTTTTCTATGATCAATAGAAGAAAATCGAAGAACTTCTACAGCTATTCCTTTGTTCTTGTTTGTAGTAGAGGTACGTTGGTATCAAATGGTTGCGGTCAGTTTCCAGTTCTGCTGATGTGTGTTTCCTTGTGTTCCAGAATTGATGTAATTAAGTTTAACCTTTGTTTTCTTACACAGGCAGAGAGTCTGGTTATAAGAGAAAGCCCTGCGATGCATGCTAAATACGTATTTAATCAGTTTGATCCTGAAGGTAATGATTTGACTGTTAGTTACACATAATATTAGTTACACATAATATACATCAGTTACCTACACCTGAATTAGTTACATTTGCACATATACATTATTTGCACAAAGATATAATTTTGTCACAAAGACATATATTAGTCACACACATATATTATTTGCCCAAACATATATTAGTCACACAAATATGTATTATTTTCACATAGTATATTAGTCACGCATATATTTTTAAAGACATATTAATCACACATATTTGCACTGACATATAATTATCACACACATATGTTTGCACAGCAGTATATCAGTCAACATACATATTTGAGTCTCACACACACACACACACATATGTGCAGATATATTAATTAGTCACACTCATATAGTAGTCACACACATGTACGTTAGTCATACAAACATACATATTAGTCACACACATACACATATACATTAGTCACATGCACACACATATTAGTCACACACTCATATATAAGTCACTCACAAAGATTAGCCACATGCACACATATGTTAGTCACACACACACACATTAATCGTAAACACACATATTAGTCACACACATAAATTAGTCATGCTCACATATACTAGTCACACACACATATTAGTCACACACATATATTAGTCACACTCACTTGTATTAATCAACACACAAATTAGTCACACACATAAATCCACTGCCCTTTGTAAGGAAACAAGAGAAGGATCCATTTAATAGGCATATGATGCTAGCTTTTTTTGTTGTTGTATAGACCAATCAGCACATAGTGAATAATGTGGTTAACCTCACACCAATGTCCTGTGTAACATGTGCTAGTTTTTGTATTTCAATTTGTTAGTTAACCATTTTGTTCTAGTCCAGTCTCTGTTCCTTTTCTCTTCTCTTTTTCCTTTGTCTGTCTGTCTGTCTGTCCCACTTTGTTAATCTTTATCTCCTTTATCTTACCCTCTAACTTCACCATCCCAGCTTTTATTTTCTCTGTCCCTTTCTTTCACATCGTTTCTCTGTATATATATTTTTGTGCTTTTCTGTCTCCCTTTTCCCTACCCCCTACCAACCCTTTCAATCTGTTGGTAATTACTTTATAAATATTTGGTTTTGTAAGACTTTCTATCACTCATTGTATTCCAGTTTTGATTTGGACCATTAAAAGATGTTACTGAATTGGCTTTAAATCTCCACATTTGTACCTATCTATTTGTCTGTCTGTGTTCTCTTTATGTCGCTGTTGACCCATAAGGCATTCACAAACCATCTCCACTGCTGCTTTTCTGCCCATGGTATCCCATGTCAGTTTACACTTCTTCATTTTCCTTTCTACTGTCCTTATCCAGGTTTCCTTATGTCATCCACATCTCCCTTTTTGTTTCCGGCATCCATTTTCATACCTGCCTGAATTGATAATCAAAGGGCATAATGTAACATGGGACTGTGTGGTAAATTTTTAATCCTTTAAAAAAACATTTTTTCATTTCATAATCAGGGTTTGTCAAGTTTTACGCATTATCAAGACACATATAGGCACTTGCCATTATTTCTGTACAGAACGGCGTGGTGGGGAATGAACAGGCAGACAGACTGGCTGGATCTGCACCACTGGGTGGTGAATTGATACATGACAAGGCAGATGTGGTCAGAGCCCTTTGGGAACAAGAAATGAACTCAGAAGAGAAACTAGATTATTATAGGCTGGAGAGAATGATGCACCTGGGTGTGACCAGAGTTTTCAGCTGGCACACTACGCTCAGAGGAAAGGCAAGACAGACATACAGCTAGACTAAAACTGGCACCATCAGTATTGGAACTCTGTGCTGGCTGCTGAGGATTGGGATGGAGCGCATATGTGAATGCCCCGAATGCTGTGATGTCAATTCTTAACTCAACTCAGCTGTGTGCAGAAAGTAATTTCCCTTTAATTGTACATTGACAAGATCATGTTTACCAATAATAGTACAGATTTATTTGCACAATTTTATTTGATTCTTCTGTGTGTATCAGTGCCCAGAAGTACATAACAGTTTCATTGATTTATCCCTTTTTTTAATTATTTCAGGAAATGGCTTTATTTCTTCATCTTTGTTGGAGGATGTAATGAGAGCCTTAGATTTGGTAGCTGACACAGAATAGTAAGTGAATACAGATTCATGCAATATAGCCATCAATGATTAAGTTGTAAAGACCTGCTTCTGTTATACTTTTAGTTATTCTTTCCCCACTCAGAGCACCCAGTCTCAGAGGTATATTAGTCAGCCAGGTTTTTAAAAAAATAGTTGACTCTTTCATTACCAAGGAATACATCATGCATTTGTTGATTTCTTTTTATGTTATATAATTTGTTATCTTCTTATGCACCATCACATTGTTATATTTACTCACTATGCACCAGTGGCTAATTTAACAGTATTTTGTGTGTGTGGGCCTCATTGTGTTGTTATTTTAACTCCTGTAGACTCTTAAGGTCGTGGCTGTGCTGTTCAGTTTGTGAGTCTTAGTTTTTACGGAGATCCCTGGGGATCATCGCCAGAGCTACGGCTCTATCGGCAGGTGGCTGGAACTTCTGTGGAGAGAGACCTCTTGATTTTAACCTCTTAACCATTTCAATATAAAGAAACATCTGGCTGGGACTCAAAGACTTAATCCAGTGCTGCTTGAGCTTTCAGTTTTTAGTAATTATGCCTGTTCATGTTCTTCTTGGCTTTGGGCTTTTTTGATGAAGTTTTGTCTTATCTACTGTCCCAGAGTCATGGGCTGAGTACATCATAATGGGGGAGGTGAGGTAGGGGTGAGGAGAAGGGTGATCAGGGATAGTAATCCAACACAGACAGTGCTGATGTCATTAGCTCAAGGATATACTAAGGCGGTGCTCTGAGCACTTATGGACTTTATAAAATTTGATTTTAAAATAAGATGATCCGGTGACTGAATCTCTGAAATCCTTATTTTGTGTAAATCCACAGTATGATTCATATCTGCTTGGAGTCTTGGAGCCAAAAGCAGCTGTCATATTTTTTAACCTCTCTTCTCCTGTTTACAATCTCTTCATTTTCTTTGGTTGTCAATGTAGTGTGGACATCATGAGAGCCAAGCTGGACTCAGAAGAACTTGGAATTATCACCCGCAGCAGTTTTCTGGAAGAGTTCTTTCCAGAACAGCAGCTGGAGCAGCCAGAGTCTTTCATGATCTACCACTATAATGGTCTACCACACTCCTGTCCAGAGGGCAAGGTAAGATCCCTTCACCTGTTGTCTGTTCTCAGGATACAGTGTTATTATAACCCCTCTGATGTGTCTTTGCCATGGTGTAGTAGAAGGGCATGTGGGTTCTATTGACTCTAAAGAGCTATGCCAAATAAAGGAATGAACGATCATACAACTTTATGTTAGAGGATCACAAATTTGGCCCGTCATACATTCAGCCATGTCTAACACTCATCTTCTACACAGCAATTTTATTTCATCTATAAAGCTTGTTATGTTCGTAGCAATATACTTTATATTATATATATAAGCAAAGACACAGAAAGCATGAATGACACTTGATGGTAGTTTAGCCATTTGTAGGGTCTCTGAGGTTGGAGTTGGACAGGTCAATGTAGAGAAACCAAAGAGAGACACAACCCTCTGTCTTGCTAGAGACTGGGGACAGGCTAATTCAAGGGAACTGAACCAAGAAAAATGCTTGTTAAAATGTCTGAACTGAGCCACGGTCTTAGTAAAACAGTGCAGTGCAGTCTACTTTAGGATGACCTGTTTGTCTGTATGCATACAAACATATTTTTATAAAATCCAGACTGGCAAACTGACTAGAATGGGTTGATAGCATCCAGACGTTTAGCCTTGAGAAATGGTCTTGGCTGTACACACCAGGACACACAGGGGGTGAAAGGAAATAAAAGAACCATGTCTGCAATGGTTGGTGGAGGAAGAAGTATGGACAGGGAAGACAAACTGAATGCTCTGCATTCCAGAGACTTTAAGAGAAAGAAGTCAGGCTATGAACCACCTGTTGGAAATGAGTATCAGATAAGGACAAGCATGCAGAAACCGGTTGCAGGGCAAAGAAAGTTAGCCAGTCAGCTCCTACTGGGTACATTAAGCATGGAGACACTCAAATGGCTGGTGCATCCGATGACGGAGCATGATTTGGTCAGACCGATATGCTAGGATGTCAGTACACAACAACAAGTTACAAATATAGAAACTCTAGCCTGATCAGTGACACTGTCATCATTTTCATATAGCAAGTCCTTTGCAGAAGATGGCTCCCATCACATCCTACAGATAAGAACTTGGTACCTTACTAATTCACACAATCATATATATACAGCATTACTATTCTTTCCTTTTCTTATGCACTCCAGTACAGCATATAGACGATCCTTTTACTTGGAAGCTGCTTTTGCTATTTAGTGTATCCTGTAGCCCAGTCTTTCCCATTTGGAACAATTTAAGTGTTCCATAAATTTACAAAAGCATTTCATTGAGAATGCAGTCCTTTTTGTAATTCTGTTTATAAGTTATGAGTTATAAGTTCTTTCCCCTTGTTGGTTTGGAAGACCAATTCTGGGTTTATCGCTTGTGTGATGTCCTGGTGGGGTACAACTTACCTACCTACCTACCTACCTATCAATTTTTAATTCTTGTCCCTATGTAGGACTTATTTTTCGTCATTTTGAAGCCCAACCCTGGTTGTTGCCTAAAGCCCTAATATAACCTAACGATTGAACCGAGTTTTTGGCACCTCTGGATCCTCATCCGAACGGTGGCACTTTGTGTCACCAGGTGTTTATCGCTCAATGTGATGTCCTAGTGGGGTAAAAAGTCAGTCAGTTAGCATTTGTCTGAGTATAAGATATGAGTTTGCCCCCTAAAATGCTCTTTTTTCGCACACTTAATTTTGGTTTATGGCCAAGACCACGCTGCCGCCTTTACTTCCTGTGACTTTACCTGGTACCCAGGATGCATTTAGATTTTAACCCTTGAGTTTTGAATCTGCTACACCACATTAACTTCCATTCATAATGCAGCATTTAAGGACCTTTCACACCTTTGGTGCTTCAGACATATGGTGCTAGATCCATTTTTAATTTACCCGTCAACACTTAAAGGCTAGTGTGGTCAAGGTCGTGTTGACCACTTTTACTTCTCAGTCCCTCCTGTGGGTTCTGGGACTCTATTTGGGAGAAGAAAGAATAGAACTACTGCTCCTCCTAACAAGTATGTTATCGGGGGGAACTAATTAGGAGTGTTTCCTTCAAGTTCGGAATACCTCTGCCAGGGAGTAGAGAAACAACAGTCTGCATACAAATAAGCCAGATCTGTAAAATAGATGTGCATGCAAAATTCATGTTCTCAATCAAGACCAAAGCCCAGAAGTGGAGGAACAACTAGAGCTTTCCACAAGAATTTATTGCTGGTGAAGGCGAAGAAGAAGAAGAAGACTTCTCTGTACATTTCCTAGCACCCATTGTAGGCTGGGGGAATTCCCTGATTACTGGTCACCGAACCAAACATGTTAAGGTCATGTGAAAGAGGTTAATGACTTCCATCACTGTTCCTATGTTGTGAAAAATTTTTGTATTATTGATATACTCCTTATATTTCTGATCCAGGTTTCTTACATAGAAGGCAAGGCATTTCTGGCAGAAGAGGTGGAGACACAGTTCATTACAGACATGACACCAATCAAATTGTGTCTTCAGACTAAATGGCCTTCCATAGAAATAGTCTGGGATTCTGATGTACCTCCATCACTAAACTAGTGCTGTATGAAAGCCAAGATAGCTAACTTTGAAATTTTTTTTTTTTAAATTGTTCTTATTTCTTAACACAGACCACAGATTTTATTGAGTTTGTGAGAGAGGGAACTATGTGTTGTGGAGTTTGCATGGAACAGTAATACATTTTCATCTCAATTGAGATGTGCAAATCAATGTTGATGAGTGTGTTTTCTGGTGAAAGGCATAGGACAGAAAATTACCATAAACAGTAAAAAGGTAAAGGAAAGTCGGGAGATGTGAACCAGCGTCATTGCACACGGTTATAAACCATAAGTGCTCTGCCACTAGTACGGACAACTGAAAAGAAACTGTCCACCTGTGTTGCCGTCCGCACGCAACTCCATAGATACAGTGACATTCCTCTATTTACCCCAGAGTGTTAACTCTGTTATCCATTTCCTGGAGGCTGGGTGAACCCCAGGAACAGCCCGGTTTTGAACACTGGCCGCAGCTGGATTTGAAAGCAAGTCTCCTATCGACTGCGCTAACGTGACAGTAGAGCAGAGCTATTCCGCTGGCTACCTCAGAGACCTAGCAGATTGTCTGCAGATCACCTGCCAGTTGTATTGAAGTAATGATCTTTCTATGCTGGGGCTCGGGCCACTGACCGGCGATGATTGGTGTTTTCCACCATTTTTTGCGCTTGTGTAAACTGAGTTGAATTTCTCTGCAGTAGTCACAGACCCTATTCCCACCATATTGCCCCGCAGTAAAGCAAGTCACAGACCTTATTTCCACTCTATTGCCCTGCAGTAGAGTAAGTCACAGACCCTGTTCCCACCCTATTGCCCCGCAGTAAAGTAAGTCACAGACCCTATTTCCACTCTATTGGCCTGCAGTAGAGTAAGTCACAGACCCTATTCCTACCCTATTGCCCCGCAGTACAGTAAGTCACAGACCCTGTTCCCACCTTATTGCCCCACAGTAAAGCAAGTCACAGACCTTATTTCCACTCTATTGCACTGCAGTAGAGTAAGTCACAGACCCTATTCCAACCCTATTGCCCTGCAGTAGAGTAAGTCACAGACCCTATTCCCACCCTATTGCCTCGCAGTAAAGTAAGTCACAGACCCTATTCCCACCCTATTGCCCCGCAGTAAAGCAAGTCACAGACCCTATTTCCACTCTATTGCCCTGCAGTAGAGTAAGTCACAGACCCTGTTCCCACCCTATTGCCCCGCAGTAAAGTAAGTCACAGACCCTATTTCCACTCTATTGCCCTGCAGTAGAGTAAGTCACAGACCCCATTCCCACCCTATTGCTCCGCAGTAAAGTAAGTCACAGACCCTATTTCCACTCTATTGCCCTGCAGTAGAGTAAGTCACAGACCCCATTCCCACCCTATTGCTCCGCAGTAAAGTAAGTCACAGACCCTATTTCCACTCTATTGCCCTGCAGTAGAGTAAGTCACAGACCCTATTCCCACCCTATTGCCCCGCAGTAAAGTAAGTCACAGACCCTATTCTCACCTCTGGTACATTGGGCATATAGTGCTAGAACTATATTTTTATAGACAAATTGGCACTCTATTGGTTGATGTGTTCAACATCTTGCTGACTACCTTTACTTCCAAGAACTTTACCTGGCACCAATTTTAGGCTGGGTCAACCTGGAAGCCAAGGTTAATTTATGAAAAAATTTTCCCTGCTGCAGATTTGAACTCTAGACCCCTTCCTGTGTGGGTTCTGGGCTCCATTGTGGGGAAAACAAGAACAGACCCACTGCCTCCCCAACAAGCATGTAATAAGAGTTGACTAACTGGGGCTTCCTTTGAAGTCAGAGGGCACCTGCCTCAAAAGCTAGGAGCCAACAACTGCATACAGATAACTTAGATCAGTAAAACTGATATGCATGCAACACTCAAGCTCTGAAACAAGGTTAAAGTCCAGAGGTGGACAAACAACCACAACTTTCCATTAGAGTTTACAGCCAGTGAACGTGAAGAAGAAATAGAAAACCCAATACCTTTAGGCCGGCAGGTGAGTGTCTAGCCACTGCACTAATGGGGCTCCTGACCCGATACAGTTTGGTTTGACCAACCGGAAACTTCAAGAATCTCACCCTGGATGGCAAACCAATAGGGCAATCACATATACCCTTTACACACGCACACATGCACACACACACATATATATATATATATATATATATATATATATATATATATATATATATATATACACATATATACATACATACATACATACATACATACATACATACATACATACATACATACATACAGACAAAATAAAATACCCTTCAAAAATCGTTCTTTTTTGACATCATATAGCTACACCAAATATTACAAGTAAAATAAAGGATCCTTTTCCATGCCTTCAGGCATATAGGGCTAGGCGTAAATTTTATAAATCAGTCGTCACTTGGTGGGTGATGTGGTCGGTATCAAGCTGGCCTCTTTGCTTCCCAGGAATGTGCCTAGTACCCACTCAAGGCTGGGTCAACCTGGAAACACCTGGTACTACCTTAGTGCAATCTGCTGTCCTGTGCAGGTAAGCTTCAAGATAATAACATATGTTGGAGACATAAGAGATTAGAATACATTGTTTATCATAAGGTGTCAAAAGGGCAAGTAGATCATGATCATTATCATCAAGTGCTTTGCCGACGGCGTGGGTGATCATGCTTCCCTACATCTTGTGATCTCCCCAGCATGTCTTAGTTCATGAATTGACACTTTTCCATGGCAAATGGGTAACCAGCCATCCTTGAAGTGAACCAAGCACTTAACCACCCACATAGGACAGCAGGTTACTTCATAAACTGTAGGCTACCCCATATATATGACTGAACAGGATTAGGTCTTAAGCTTTTGTGGACATGGAAGTCCACTGCAATAAAAGTACAACCTGCCTAAGAAGCAGAGTGCTCATTTGATGTAAGTAGTTGAAATCCCTGGTCTGCTTTCTGTTGGCTTCGAAAGGCACAGTCCGTGATGAATGAGAAGCTCAATATATGGAAGTGAGGTTAAGCAGTCATCAGGATGTGACGATTCCTTGGGTGTTCAGTACTAGATCACTGTGTATTGGCTCTGCACTTATGAAAGCCTCCTTGGATGGTGAAGAATGCTCATGATTTGCCCCTGTCTTTTTTTTTTTTTTTTGGATGGTTGACCAGCATAACCTGGCTGCTCTGGACAGGCCTGGCGAGAGGCACCACCTTTGACCTAGGAAGCAAAGATGACCACATAATGCAACTGCAGTGTCTGACAAAACTAACTGTGATGGCTAGCCCAGGTAACAAATGCCTGCAGAAGCTTGATGTGTCAGCTGAAAGGCTCAGATATTGCAGCCATATTGTAAACAGGCACAATGCATGTACATCTTTAGACGAATGCAGAAGAAGAAGAAAATGAACAGGATTTCTGGAATTTGCTGCTGTTGAATTCACATCCAGATAATGACTTTTTGAGTCAGTGGATATCCGTCTGGAATTCCAGGGGGAAATGGAAGTGATCTCTGACTGCAAATGCTAGAATGAAGTTTGTGTTTTGGCTGAACAAATATTGATCGCACTATATACTGACACAACACAACCATAATCTTATAATCTTACACTGAACCGCAACCCCCCCCCCCCCCTTTTCCAAAAAAACAGCCATTACTGCCTGATTGTTAAAAAAGGTGGGGGGGGGGGGGGGAGTGTATGTGAGTCTGGGGATTTAGGGCAGCATGGCTAGTGCTGTTGCACGCACTGTGCAGGTTAGGATTTTATTTTTGCCTCTTACAGAAAAGTTCATGACCTTGGTAAGGATGCGAACCTGGGTCTCCCTTATGAGAGCCTAGTGTTCTTGATCATTTGGCTAGCTGCTCCTGCATGGACAAATACAGTAAAAGAAATAGTAACTACAAATGTATCTGACAGTAAAATACTGATCATACATTCTTGATATGGAGTTTATTCAAATTAGGACTTCACACTATATTTGTAGTATACCTTATTATGGATGAGTTAATTTGTTTATCATTTCAGTTATGCAAGCAAAAAATGTTGGTTCAGTTTTGCTATACCTCATTTGGTTGAAAACATAACAGGGGATCTAACAGTGGCCAGATTTTTCTGCCAGTACCTGTAGAAAACAATTCATTTATCTGCAGAAAATAAATAGGTATGAAAACTAATAATTATATTTTTGTACAACTTTATTTGTTGCATTGCTTCTTTGTTTTTTTCTTGGTTGCTTTGTTACAGCCAATTGACTTGCCAGAGACATTTTGGCTTTAACTATTTTTTAGTTTATTCTCCTTTTACTACACTTGTATTTTTGATAAATATTGTTGGTGCTTCTGATTTGTGGCTTAGAGGTTAGTGAATCCATTTCACAATTCTTTCATGTAACCAGGTCGGTTTCTACGATTTATGTTGGAAAAATATTGTTTTTTAACTCTGAGACATTGGTACAAAAGTTTTGTCTGAGGAAGAGACTGAGACTTGACCACATAATAATTCCAGACAGTAGCAGACAAACATATCTTAACATGTACTGTCTGGAAGTGATTTGTTAGTCTGGCAGTCTGGTAGTCTTAGTTTCAAGCTTCAAAGCAAACGGGTTTGTTAATTTTACTTGTCAGCATGTACTGTCTGGAAGTAGTTTTGGTTTGTTAATTTTACTGGTCAACATTTACTGTCTGGAACTGGTTTGTTAATTTTACTGGCCAGCATGTACTGTCTGAAAGTGGTTTTGCTTCTGTGCTTCATGTCTGAAAGTGGTTTTGCTTTGTTAATAATTTTTTTTTTACCAGTTTGTACGGTCTGGAAGTGGTTTTGGTTTGTTAATTCGAATGGTCAGCACTTAATGTCTGGAAGTAATTTTTTGTTAGTGTTTGCAACACTTGTTAAGTGCGCTTATTGTATTGTTATAATGCCATAAATGTTGTTTTGCAAATATCTGTGATGCTTCTTGTAATATTGCCATCAGACAACATAATTCTTGGTTTTTGTTTGTTTCTTCAAGACCAAAA